CCCTGACCCCCGATAGGAAGCCCTGACCCCTGCTGGGGCCCTGACCCCCGATAGCAAGCCCTGACCCCTGATGGGGCCCTGACAGGATAATCAACTCATGCTAGCACTTCTCCTCTGAGGACCCATTGAAATGTTTCACTAACGAACTGAAGCGTGCAGCATCAGCGCCGTGATGCAACACGCTGATGATGAAGCTGTTCAAACTCACCTTGGCTGTGAAGGTTCTGATCCTGAGTCGGGTTTAATGCTCAGATCTCTGCATTAGAGCTGGACGTGTGAAGTTTACTGCTTTGGTTTCAACTTAATCCTTTTTGATGCTTTGCTGTTTTTCATGGATTTCCTTTCATTAAAGCTGTAATTATCTCCACATCTAAAATGGAGCAAAACATCTGCTCTGTCATATGATGCTCTCAGGTTTCAAAGATGACGGCGGCGCCCATCCAGCCTGCTGGGGGGGGGAGCTCCCACCACCACTGACCACATGGCTGTCCAACTGTTGGAGGCCGATGCGGACTGAGCGCAGCTGATAATACCCCGCTGATGTCATGTGCCGTTCCTGGGCGCTGGGTTCATACTGGTTGATTAGGCGGCGTGTGGCTCAGCCTCTGATCAGCTGGCTCCGGTTACGGCGGCCCCTCAAAACAGGAACGACCTGTGACTTCTCATCTATTTCCCACACACAGACAGAAACACGTCTGGCACCCCAGGAGCCGGTCGTCCATCTTCTCAGGGAGACTTTATGAAGCACTTAGAGGTGGCAGCCTCTTCAGACCTGCTGTGATTTGTAGACTTTTCCTCCGTGCTGCAGAGCCAGAGCTGCCCTGGCACGTCAGCGCAGGGTTTGGATCGAGACTGGAAGGTGTTCGCAGGGGGAGGAGGGCATCTGGCAGAGCCGGGGATATAGATTATATCACTTTAGTAATGTGAAAATGTCTGGCCAATGAAAAAGAACAGCCCACGTATTGGAGGCGCAGAGAAACACTCTGCTGTCAACCTTCCTAAAGGATTTACAACCGATTTCACCTTCAAACATTTCAAAAGGAGGATGTGGTCAGAGAACAAAACTAAACTTTAAGGCAAACAAAACCAAACTCAATCATGCTGATGGTGAAGCACGGTGGAGGCGACTTCATGCTGTGCAAAGCTTTTCTTCAGAAGACACGGCCAAGCTGCTCAGACCTAAACAGACCAGAGGTTCAGGTTTGAGCAGATCAGCAGGAGGGGAGCTGGGATCACAGGAGGGCTTCAGGTCTGCAGCTGAAGGTTCTGCTCTCCGTCTCACCTGGCGGAGCTGCTGGGAACCTTCAGGTGATGCAGAGGGAGGTGCTTCTACAGAGAACGCCGTCAGTTCCTTAAAGCCTCCTACTTTCCCTTTCCTGCAGCTGTTCCCATTCTCCCCCGCTGGGAACGCAGAAACAGGAAAAACATCTAGGTATCTGGTTTCTATCTGTGGTTTTTATTTTCTCCCCTGAAGCACAGATGTTCCAGCATAGAGTCTCAAACAACACAGCAAACGTTTAATGTTCACATCTCAGCAGGATGAACCCAGAGCGCAGCTTTAGGTGGAGGCAGCAGGTCCAGGATCACTGATGCTGGTGAAGCTGAGGACGTCCTTCAGCAGGTCCGAGTATTTGATGTTCTTCAGAGCAGATCCATCAGCTTCTGGCCTGAGGTTCAGCTCAAACTGGAGGAAACAAGAAAAACGACTGAAACAAACGACTGAAACAAACGACTGAAACA